GGGTCCTGGGTGCATGGCATGATAATCAATTTCTAAAAACTGCATTTCTTTGCTTTTCGGTTATGTTACATAAACTCTTTTGAGTGCTCCAAAGAGAATTTCTTGACCTCCAATGAACCACCTAACCTCCATTCTTCCTTCCTATACTCAGTGCCACTGCTGAAGCTGAAGGCATCCAGCCATTAGTAAACACCCTGTCCAGTAAACGCGACGGAGCCGTAGCCAACGCGGCCACCGTACTGACCAACATGGCGCTGCAGGAGCCCCTGCGCGAGGCCATGCAGAGCCACGAACTCATGCAGGCTCTCATCGGCCCGCTGGGCTCAGCCAACACCCTCGTGCAGAGCAGGGTTGCCCTTGCCGTCGCTGCCACGGCCTGTGATGTGGAAGCTCGCACAGAGGTAACTGCCCCCTCCTGTTGTTGGGCAGGATCTATCAGCGTATTAATTTGAAACATTTTCAAATTATTTGGACCTACCTACCATTAAGTCTGTCAGAATTCTGACAGTACTTTGGAAAACAAGCTGGTGTAATTGAAAGCAAAGATGGAGAGCATACCCTAGCAACCTGATAATTCTGTTCTAAGTATTTATATACTTAAGAGAATCTGTCCCTCCTGGGTACCAGGAAAATGGTTTATAATATCTAACTAGAAATAAAGAACTGGCCCACTCTTCATATATAAATAACGGTGTATTCCTAACATGGAGTCTCAGGTCAGTGGAAATGAATGAATTGTAGCTCCAGAGAGTGGGGAGGAGTGTCACAAGCATTATGCAGAGTTAAATCAAAGAACAGAAGAATAGGTACTTGTGGCTCATTTATATAATGTAAGAAATACTCAACTCCAAGCTGTGTGTCACCTACACATACATACATATGTTAAAACTATAAGGAAAAGCAAGGTGATAATGATAATTAACCCTAAATTCAAGGAAGTAGTTGCCTGAGCAGAGAAATAGAGTGGTTGGAGTGGGGAAAACTCAGAAATTCAAAGTCGTATTGATGTCCTGCTTCTTCAGCGGGGTGATAGACAAACAGGTGTGTCTTTTACTATAATGCTTGATAGTTTGTATACTCTTGTGCTTCTTTTATAGTTTATATCCTCAGAATGTAGAATTGAATTCTTGGACAATTGATCATCTAAATATTGTCTTAGTACTTAAAATGATTCTAGTAAACTTTACCTAAAATTTGACATAAATGTACAAAGATCCTTTTACTCTTGATTTTCTTATGTGTACCTGTCATCATCAAATTCCAACAGCCTGGAATTTTGTTCCTCTCTCCCAACAAAGTAACAAAATGTAGTACTTATTGATCACCTACTATGTACCAGACACTGTACATGCACGGAAACGTCATTTGAAATAAGTACACTTATAATACCCATTGCACAGATGAGGAAAAGGAAGTTTAGAGAAGTAACCTGTTTACAGAGTTGGCAAGTGGCAAATCAGGGATATGAGAGCAATCTTAATTCTAGAGCCCAAGCTTCACATTATGTTGCGTATTCAGACAACTATCTAATCTGCTTTTTGTTTTCTCTTAGATGTTTCTTCTACCTCCTTTCCTTGTTTCCTTTGACTCAGTTCATTTATATTTGCCCCTTTAGGAAGTAAGAGAGCCACCAGACACTTACCACCTACTGTATGCCAGGTATTATGCTAGGCATCAGGAATACAAGGGTAATAAAAGTATCACAGTCAAGTACTCTCCATGATCTTGCAGAGAAGTCCCTGTAGTTCCTGTAATAGTGCAGAAAACTGCCCCCCATACTTGCAAATGCAGGACCCTCGTCACACTATTGCAAGTTTCCAGTGGTTTGCCATTGCTATAAGGTAAGAGTTAGGCTCCTCACACCCTGTACAAGGGCCTTTAAATGCTCTATGCTTGCCTCTTTAAGCAGCCCAAGCTCCAGCTCTTTGCAGGGGGGCTCCACATCCCAAAATACCACACTCTTTGTACTTCTCTCAGAATGTTCCATCCTGCCATGTATATCTCCTTGGTTTCTCTGTGTGGAAAGCCAATCTATCTTTCTTCTACTGTAAATTCCACCACAACCTAGCTCAGGGGCTGGGAATGTAGCTCAGTGGTACAGTGCTTGACTGGTCTGCATGAAACCCTGAGTTTAATCCTCAAAATGATCCGATTTTTGAAAATAGCTAGGCTGCTCAGCTGAACTTTGTCCCATGAGGCCCTCTTTCAGTCCCCAAGCTTGACTGCATCCTCCTCTGCACTCTGATACACCCTGGACATTATTTCCTTGGTTTTCTTTTTTCACATTTTATTGTTCTTGTATTAAGAACTGAAAGCTGCTTGAGACTTTAGGGAAAGGAACTGAGAGTTTTCTTTCCTATGCCCATGTCTTTAATATGTACGTGGTACATAATACACACTTAATACTCGTTAAATGAACAAGAGAATGAATGAAGAAATGAATGAACTCACTAGGTCTTTATCAAAAAGAACACGTGGAGTTAGGTCACTGTCTTGTACTGTATGCAAAATAACAATGTTGGGCATTTTGACTAGCCAAGTGTGGGATGCTGAGGGAACTTTTCTATGAAGTCCAAGTTACATACGCTAAAGTGTGGGACGGGCCAGAGTCCCTGTGTTGAGACAGCTGACTGCAAGTGGAATGCTCTCCGCAAGCCTCCTGACTTTGGATGCTATCTTTGATACGAATATTTGGTGGAATAGTTTTTATTATCCAGCTCAAATAATGCACTATTGCATTTCAGATGTGAAACAAGCACTCCCTCAGATTTGTTTTTCACTGGATTAATTTGTACAGGAGTAATTTCTTTTCATAATGTAACTAATGTAGTCTCATCCAGTACTTTTCTTTTTTTTCCCCCTTCCCGAGTTCTTGAAGAAACAAAAAGACACTCTAAGGTGGCCTAAGTGGGTCTTTTTCTAGAGAATTGCCTCCCTAGTGCTCTGACTGCCCTTCTGACCTGGTGGCTGTGTCCAGAGATGTGGGTGGTGGCGATCTCTCAGTACGACCTGTGGCCGTATTGATTTTTCCTGCTTGAGCTGGAGGATTGTATTACCTTCTTATTGCTGCTGTAACAAAGTACTACCACCTGGTGGCTTAAAGCAATAAAAATCTATTAACTCACAGGTTTTAGAGGTCAAAAATCTGGGGGGAAATTGGTTTTAAGAACTTAATGTGGGCTGGTGAGCTAGCTCAGCGGATTAAGCGCTGGCTTAGGGAAGTGCTAGGACTGGGGTTCCATCCCTGGGGCCACAGGCTATGCCGGCCCCACCCTCAGCATGCTGAGACATTCACCTAGTCCAGGCTGCAGTGCAGGCCTGTAATCCCAGCACTGGGGAGCCTGAAAACAGGAGGATCACCCTCAGTCCTCGCTGCACAGTGAGACCTTGTATCAAACACATAAATGTGTCAACAGGGCTATGTTCCTGCTGAAGGCTTTTTTTTTTAAATCCATTTCTTTGTTTTTGTACCTCCTAGAAGCCACCTGTAGTCTTTGGCTCAGGGCCCCTTTCTCCATCTTCAAAGCACATCATCCAGTATCCATTTCTATCTCATCTCTTTTGTGCTTCTGGCACTGCTGTCTTGCTTTTGTAAGAATCCTGTGATTATGTTCTACCCGCTGGATGATCAAGAAAAAGAGCCCAATCTCAAAATCCTTAATCTAACCTCATGTGAAAAGACCCTTATAGGGAAATGGACCTCTTTGGAGGGTTGTTATTTGGTCTTTCTCAGAACCAAGTAAATTTGCTGTATTCAGAAGTATAAGCAGAGTAAATTAGAGCATTCCCCATGTAGACAGTGAGAAGACAGGCTCCTTCCCAGGTCAAGCACCTTCCTCAATCCCTGCAAACACCCAACCTCCAACCCCCTCCATTGCCCCACTCCCCACCAAAACCTGTGAATTCCTGCTATGACTTTACTGGTGCCTCTTGTCATGGAAAACTTGCCTCCTGTCCTTGAAGTTATGCACTAGATTTTTCCCACGGAATTTAATAAATCTGAACATGGACACATTCTAAAGATTTTCACATGGTTATGACCTTTCATCTAATAATGAGATTTTTTAAAAAAGCATAAATGCTTTTGCCCTATGTTCTTCATGTGTAAAATGTTGGTGTCCCCTTCTAGTTAAGAAATCGAGGTGGGCTGGAGCCCCTAGTGGAGCTCTTGCACTCCAAGAACAATGAAGTAAGAAGGCACGCCAGCCAGGCCGTGATGGTCTGTGCCAATGATGAGCTGACGGCCACTGAGCTGTGCAAGCTCGGGTGAGTGACGCCACCCCCCTCCCCTCTCAGATGATGAGCAGAAGACAGAGAGTGTGTGCTGCACTCCCAAGGGGGCAGAGTGTTCAGGAGCCCCAGTGATCCACAGCACAGGCCTTCAGTGTTGGGGAGACCACCTAAAGGAAGGGTGTTCTTTACCTGCCTCCCGAAGGGTCCCCAGCTGATCTTTATGCAGTCATCTTTTCATTTCTTCATCTTGGTAAGTGTTTCCTTTTGGCTTTTCTCTGCCATTGTCAAACACTGCCCTATCTCTCCCTCTACTTCAAGGTCAAAATAAAACAAGCAAGTCATGACTATCATCTGGATTTTTCCCTTCCCTACCTATCCATATCTTTTTATTAGGATTCTAT